CTCAAGTACAAATGTATTATTACAACAAGAATTATATTATTTGTACACCAACGATGTACACGCTCCTCATAAGAAAGAGAGATCCACGCATTTTTTTATTGGACGTGGGCACCCCCTATTGTGAGGGGAGTCAACGCCGATGTACGTATTGCAAATCCCTTACAACTATTTGGTTGGTCGGTTGTGCTAATTAGAGTTAATGATAGGATTATTTATTTATTCATTTTTTTTTTTAAAACAACGGTTTCTCATTTAAAAAATCAGCAGCTGCCAAATCAACCAAACACTGCACTCTTTTTTTCCTTCTCCAGGCAACATTATTCTCGGTCAGTACATAGTTGACCTTCAAGCCCTATTTAGTAGAATTAAAATTTAAATTTTAATCTAAATCAAATTAAACAATTAAACTCTCGTTTGATCCTATTTTCTGGAAATGAAAACGGGTCGACTAGTACTTTTTTTTTTTTAATGAGTGATTGAAAAAGAAAGAAATTTTTTTATTTACATGTAATATTATTTTATAGAAAACTCTGTGATTGAAAATATGAGAGAAAAAAATGAAATGTAATGGAATAGAAATTAATGAGGACCAAACGGGTTAATTTTAACCACATGTTTCATATGACCCATAACATTTCAACAATATATTTCATTAACTTTTATCAAAATTTAACGAAAAAATTTGATTTTAATCCCTACCAAATAAGGGCTAAATAGGAATTAGTTTGATTTTGTCATTCTATGAGTTTGGTTTTAGTTATTTGCAAAAAATAAAACTAAATTAAAATTAAAAGATTACTATAGGACGAGAAAAACTTAAAAGACAAATGAAAACACAACAAAAAGTTCAAAAAATGTGCAGTAAAAATACTTAAAAACATTACTTAAATCGAAGATCAAAATTGTCAATGATTAACTTTGTATCAATACTAAGAGAAATCTCCTCCTCAATATAGAGAACTATGGAGTTTGTTAGACATTCATTCTCAATTTTATTGTGAATCGATATATTGACGATTTTCATCCTTGAAAAGTTCATTGTTTCAGAAATTGGAAGAGTCGATACTAAATAAAACAACCTATCAATTTAGAAATAATGACGCAATCACTTTGTTTCAACCAACATTGACATGTGAAGAAAGAGAATGATCAAGATTCTAAAACTAAATGTGGTGAAAGTACAACAAACTTGTAATGATCCAATTGTCTCCTCAAATCATTTCTTCTCCTCTGTTAAAACCTAGTGGATAAAATTTCTTAGCAAAATAGAATTTAAAAAAATTATTTTGAACCATCAACATAATTTAAAGCCTTGAATAGCTCAAGAAATTTCATTGTTATCTGTTTAAATGTATTATTCAATTCTATCGATAGAATCTGTAATCGTATTGATTATATGAAAGCATGAAATATCATTTTTATAGTTGACACAAACGTTTTGCTGATATAACAATCATTTAATCCTATCGTGTCAATATTATTCATCGAGAAGCAAATAAAGAATATAAAAACAAGCAAGAAGGATTGGTGTCATCCTCAATCTTGACCTAAATTTGTAATTTTATCTTCAACATATATTTTCTTGACATGTCGGAATAATGATAGCTAATTCGTTAAAATTTGGGTATAAGAATGTGAAGAAATAAAAGTTGGGTAGAAATGCAAAAGGAGGTAAAAATTAGGGGGGCGGCTGTTATTTAACCAAAATAGTAGCTTAGACTTTAATGTTATACGTTTCTCTCAAGCATTGACTTTCTATAATTTAATGAACTGGAGATCCAAGGTACCCACCGTTAGCATAAAGTCATACGAAATAAAATTGATTATAAAATGGAAAATTCTTGATGTCCATTATGTACACATGGCGCAGTCCTATTGGAGGGGCACCTGGCACCAAGCACATCTGAAATAAAATTCGATTTAAATAAATATTATTTTAAATTTGTGTGGATTGAGCCTTGACTTTCCATTATAAGTATTCGCGGTTCACGTGGGATCATAGACCAATTAGATTACACCAATTTTGAAGGTAGAGGAATATTACATGCAAGGTTTAGAAATAGAGTAATAATATTTAGGTTCGAGTATCAATGAATTTGGTTATGAGAATTTTGAAGTTCTCTAGATGACTATTTATTAGAAGGCTGTTATACATAACATTTTACAAGCACAGCAACATTAATAATTAAGTAAATAATATACTTATATTTAAATGAAGAATTTGAATGAAAGGTATTATGGAAAGATTTTAAATATAAAAGTAAATAGGGTAAATAGGTAGGAATTTTTTTTTTTTTGGGGCCCCAGTTTTGAAGGCCCTAGGCAATGCCTCGGTGGCTTTGTTCCAGTGCCACCTCTGGGTATTAAGCACCCTGTTTCTATTCTAACTACACATTTTTTTTTTCCAAAAAATCACTTCTTTAGAACTCATTTCCCAAAATATATATATATAGAAAAAGAAAAAAAAACTCTTTATAATTTGTTGTCAAAGAGGGACTAGGTATCAATTTAGGTGATAGTTAGATGACATTAATTAATAGATTAATTGAAATACGAATTCACATGATTTTATTAAGTAGACATATTAAGAGCGACCACCTAAATTGGTGTTCCAGCACCACGTGTGTTAAATAACATTATTCTTAGCAGAAAGGCGTCTAACCAGATTGGAGGTCGTTAACGGTGGCATATGAAGGTTCCCAACATTTGTTTTTGAGAATTCATATACCCAACTTTATTTTGTTGTATTTTTCTCTCATGCGTATATTTATTAGTGCATCTTGTCTCTGATGACAACTTCTGTCCAAAAGTTCATTAGGTAGTAACGCATAAAAGATATATTTATTTATCGTATTTTTAGATGTGTAAAATAAAAACAAATTAAAAATTTTGACAAAATAGTTGCTATTCATTCAAAGCACACTAACAAAATATATGAACAGAAATCGTTATCAGAAATAAGATGTACTAAACTATTAATAAATTGAAGGATAGGTTGCAAAAATTGGGGACATAAGCCCGTCATGCAATTAAATTGTGGTGCACTGTAACAAAAATTGTGCTGCAATTACCGTTATGTTTTTTCAAGGCAAATGTTTCTTTTTATCTTTGATAAATTAGAGTTGCACTCCCAAATCTTTCACATGTCGTGAGAATAGGTCTTCAACCTTCAAAAGTGAAATTTTGTGTCCTTAACATATTTAAATGTTGAATCTAGGTCCTCATGTGATCAAAATCAACAATGTAGACTTGAAAGTCGCACACAACTTTTACAACTCACAGTTGGAGGACAAAATCGTAAAACTATTTAATATTTATCTCTAATTCAACTAAAAGTTACGTAATATTTTATCGTCTAAATTGATTACTTTTGTCGAGTTTCACATATTCAATTAGATTAAGGATTCTAAATTTCACTTTTAAAGGTTGGAGACCATAACTATACTATATAAAAGGTTGAAGGACCTAATTTACCCTTATATCTTTATCTTATTTTTATTAATTAAAAATGAGGGTATTTGATCATTTTAACAAAAAATTATTTAACTAACACAACCATCTCTTTGGAACCCAAAATGCTTCGAAGTATAAAGTTGATGACAAAAGTGCTTCGTTTCAAAGGTTGAAGATTTGAATGCTCTAGCATGTAAAAGTTGGAAATTTGAAATTTTCCATGTAATGTGTTATTTGGAGAAAGATCAACTTAGTGAGAGCCATGAAAGTTGAGTGTAATCTTTTTTTTTTTTTTTAAGAATTTCTTTCATTAAACAGCAATTCATCTATTATACTTTTGAGTTAGAAGACATAAAATTTTATCTTCCTCCATTTTTCAGTGTCAACTTTGTTCACACGCTGCAATAATTGGAGCAATTTTGAATGAAAATGGGCTTTAAAAAAAAAAAAAAAAAATTTAGGGTTTTGCTAATGAACGAACACAGAAGAGACAAAAGAGTTGAGTTGGGGTCAAAGTAAGCATCTTTAGTAAATATATAGTTGCCATATTTTGTTTCATTGTTAAGGAAATGGACTTTATAATTACATTTTAAAAACAATATATATTTTCATTTTAATCTTCATAGAACACAAAAGAATTATAGAGGAAATTCCTTTAGACTAACTAGTGAAAATTTTGATAAGTAACCTTAAGAAACTTTATTTCTTTAGTGATTTTTTGTAATTCAAATTTCCCATTCTGTTAAAGAAGAAAAAAAGGAGAAAACTAAGGGCACGTTTGATGTAGATAATATGAGAATGAATTTTATTAAAAATATTTTTTTAGAAAATATGTTGTTAAAAAATAAATAAATAAATAAAAAAGGTTATGGATTTACTTATAAAATTACTTTATTGAAATGATTAAAAATAAGTTTGAAAAATATGAATTCTGTCATAATTATTTGGTTAGAGTATGAGATGATTTAATCAATGGTCACTACATTTTGCTATAGGCTACTACGTGCTCGTAGATTTTTAAAAAGTAATTCGATGCTCGCTGAACTTTGCTATAAATTATTACTGCTCACCAAATTTTAAAAGGTTGCTTGTTTCTCACTTAAATTTTAACACAATTACTTTTGCTCATTGAAATTTGCCATAGGTAATACTGATGGAAATGATATGGGTAATTAATGGCTAATTTGTTCAAATTTGGATGAGCAACAAGTAACATTTTAAATTTCGATGAGCAAAGAGTATTAAGGATCATGCTACGGATCCTTAGCCTTAATTCAAGGCTTTCCATTTGTATTCCAATTAGACCCATAATTGTAGCTTCCATTTTTATTTGCTTGATTCTTTCCATCCCATTGTAAAGCTCTCATCATCAAACTACCTTCTATGGAAAAGCCAATTGTTAACTCTTCTTGAGAGTCAAGAACTGCTCGGCTATGTCGACAAAACTCTTAAGCAACCTCCACGATTTGACCCACCCAACTCTCAGACACCAAAGAGCAAACACTTGGCGTGCCTAGCTACTTGACAACAAACATGTTCGCACTCCCATGGTTGTCTCTCAGCACGTGCTTGCTGATGGTCCTTTGTTATCGGATCCTACACTTTACAGATCTCCTGTTGGTGCTCTCCAGTATCTGATCATCACCCATCTAGATATTACTCATGCTATTAACTCTGTTAGTCAGTTTCTTCACTCCCCAACTGAAGAACACTTTCTTGTTGTCAAACGCATTCTTCGCTATGTTAAAGGCACGTTGCAATTTGGCCTTACTTTTCATCCATCTGCTGCTCTTTTGGGCAAGTTGCCCAAATACTTCAATTGCTCTACCTCTAGTTACTCTATTAATCTCGGTGGCAATTTGATTTCTTGGAGTGCCAAGAAGTATCTTACTATTTCTCATTGTAGTTGTGAATCTGAATATCGTGCTTTGGCTCTCACTGTCCCTGTACTCCTTTGTTTCATGCATCTATTTAATGACCTCAAAGTTTCAATTCCACAGCAACCACTCTTCCCATGTAACAACAAGAGTGCTATCTTCTTGAGCTCTAGTCTGGTTTCTCACAAATAAGCCAAGCATGTCGAGCTTGGCAACCACTTTTTTCGTGAACTTGTTCTTGCTGGCAAGTTTTGCACTCAGTATGTGCCTTCTCATTTGCAAGCTGTCAAAACCACTATTTGAGCTCTTCCCAAGCTTCACGTACGCTCCAATCCGACGCTCAACTTGACGGGGTTTCAATGATCATGCTAAGAATCCTCGGTCCTAATTCAAGGATTTGCATTTGTATTCCAATAAGACCCATAATTGTAGCTTCCATTTTTATTTGCTTGCTTCTTTCCATTCCATTCCATTGTAATAATACCACATACAAATATGTAATATGCATATATGTATATGAAATCAATCCACCACTCAAAAGTGTGGTGGTTTTCAAACATTTACAAGTAGTACAGCAAAGTTCAGTGAATAAAGAGTAACTTTTTAAATTTTAATGAGCAAATAATGACCTATAAGAAAATTCAGTGACCATTGATTAATTTCACTCATTAGAGTATGTTTTAGAAAGAGACTATTTCTGACTAAAGCTGAGAAGACGACCTGGTTTCACATAGACATTTGAAATTCTTAAAAATTCCTCGTACTTTAAAAAGGACACTCTGAGCTCAATAGATAAGAAAGAAGTCAATACCCCCAAACCCATCCTTCCTGCTCCCGAAGTTTCTTCTCCTTCTTGAATAACCATAAAAAAAAGTTGTAATTTTCTGGCCTCCAGGCAGTCATTCATGTCACAATTATTACAAAAGTAGTGTAATTATGCGTTGGTGGCAGTCATCCTCATCCAAATCTCCTTGTGATGATAATAGCCTCATCGACAACGGAGGAGGCAGTGGAGCTGCAGGATCATCCAAGTACACTTTGAAATCGCTTCTTTTTCCCTTCGTCTGGAGCCGCCACCCCACCAAAGCCGCCGGGAAGTTGCAGCATCTGTCGGATAATTATGACGCTGAGCTCTTGTATTCTCCCTCCCACTTCGAGAATTCTCCCACCAGGCTGTCATCCTCAGCCTTCTCGACAGTTTCAGGTGCGCCGTTCCCTCAGCCGCTGCCATTACCCAATTTACAGCCGGGGAACGTGATCCAGCGTTTGAACCATAAAATAAAACACCGTAGCGGTGAAGAGAGGGCGAGAGAAAAAGAGAAAGGAGTAGAAAGGAAGCAAGCTGATGGGTTGAGCGCAGCTGATCCCATTGACAGACTCAACGGATTTAACAGGTACCCAAAATAATTTTCCATGTTCATTTTACCAAGCATCACGAACATTTTTTATATAGATAGTAGCCGGTAGCTGAACTTAAACATTAGTTTCAGTTAAGTCACTGTCCATGTATCTGTTAATTGATTTAATAATGTTGCATTTAGAATGCCTAGAGGGAAAAATTTTAAGGGTCTCAACCTAACCTAAGATTTAGTGGGAAAATAGTCCTTATCTGAGAGAATTAATTTGACTCAACCACTTCCCTAATTAGAGCTTTTGTCAGAAATTTCATCTTCAAGTGCAGCATCAATGTCATTGATTGAAACTGATTTAAGGCTAGATGCCCAAATAAAAAATTGTGAGCTGAAGGGCCTTGACCAACAAAAAAGTCACTATGATCATCATCGTGCATGGCTCTGTTCTCAATGACACGATCATGTTGATTACCAACTTCTAGCTGCACCATTTATCCATCAAAAGTGTATTGACCCTCCTGTTTTCTATGCTTAATCTTCATCCTTCTAAAAGTAATGTAGAAAAGAATGTCTTTAGAGCTTCATGATGATGAGTGTGCAGATAATGTAAGCCCTTCTTATCCATCTCTGAAAAGTGACATATTGATGAAGCCTGAGCTCCTTCTATCCTCGATATCTCCTGACCAAGTCCCAACCATTCTAGATGTAGCACATCTAAGGCCCTCTCTAATTAACAATCTTATATAGTCTTCCATAGATTTGCACTCTTTCTACTTCACAAGCATCAGATTTCCCTCACTTTTTTTGTACATTATACTTGTTACAAAGTGGTTCAAGAATTGGTGACTGAAATGTTATCCATCTGGTAATTAGGCAATCTGATCCATTTGGAAGGGGTTTCCCAAGATCTTATCAATGAAGAGAATTGAGGAATATTAGCCCATCTTGTTCCATTTTCTGTCAACAATTTTTGTTTTTTGGTTTTGACTGGAGTTATTTCAAATTTAATTGGATTGCAATCCTCTTTTGCTTTTCTTTAGTTTTAAATATTCAAGGCGCGTTCTATTTTTGTAGTTCATATATCTGATTTTTGACTTCTATTGTGTTTAGAGGCAGCAGTACTTGGAAGTGTCAACCAACTCGTCTGAAATCTTAAACTGTAGAGAGGATACATTTATTTATTTAAATCTTGTCTTCAACTCTGCAATTGTTCTTGCCTTCAGTGATTCTTCTTAAGCATGGCATAGTATTAACTGTCTATTGTGAGTTCATTTATTCTCCGATTGCAGCAGATTAACAAGCCAAAATGATGGAAGGAATGCAGAACACTCTGAAACTCGGTCATCTAGAAAGGAAAATAGAACAGGAAGATTCTCTGACAACTACAATACTAATCGCTCCATTAGTGCTCCATCTAGTCCTTATTCAAGCCCTGAAAAACTCAGCTCTGAAAGAGGTAATAGTGTTTTTTTGGTAATCCATTACCTGTCTTACTTCAAGTGTTTTCTGAGTTTGGTCTGCAATAGAGGAGCCTCTATCTGATGCAAAATTTGGCCTAGGCTTCTCTTATCAAATGCTACTCGAGAAGACTTCATCTACTGTTGATAATTCTCCCGCCAACAGTCCAATTGTACGTTCTCACCGTCCTGCAACAAGTCCTCTTAGACGTGAATCATCGTTTCCCAACAATGGCTCCAATGCTCAGGCCGCCTTACATCCTTTACCTCCTCCTCCAGGATCCAACATGCCTTCCCAGCCTGCAATTTCAACAGTTGCAGCTAAAAATGAATTCATCCCCATTAACAGTCTATGGCAAAAAGGGAAGATTCTTGGGCATGGGACATTTGGATGTGTTTATGTAGCTTCCAACAGGTACACAAATTCGATATATAATTACTTTTTCCCAAGATTTCATCTGGTAGTAGAGACTATTTACTTGTTATTGTCAACAGAGAGACAGGGGCTTTATGTGCCATGAAAGAAGTTGATGTTTTACAAGATGACCCAAAATCTGTAGAGAGTTTAAGGCAGTTGGAGCAGGTTTTCATCCAGTTCACCTGTTTCCCTTTTTATTTTTTTAATATTTTTCTAGACTCCAGTATTCTGAAATTAAATTTATGAAATGCACGTTGAACTTTCTGCCAAGTTCCTTGCATCATTGTCGCTGTGATTATGGTTAATTAACATATTTTTATGATATTATGCAGTTCTCTAACCTGGAAAATGGACAGAACTCTAGTTCTCCTCAAATTTGTTTCAGTTAATTTTCAATAGAAGGATTTGCATTCATATCTTATTTCTATTTGCAGGAAATTAAATTACTATGCCAACTAAAGCACCCAAATATTGTGCGGTACTATGGCAGTGAAATAGTGAGTAATTTCTTTAATGGTACTCTGGTAACTGCTTGGCATCTCTGCATTATACGCTCTCACAAGAGTCTTGGTTTACGTTTATCCAGGCTGGTAACAGATTTCACATATATCTTGAATATGTCCATCCTGGTTCGATCAATAGATATATCCGTGACCATGGTGGACCAATTACAGAAGCTGTTGTACGCAATTTTACTCGGCATATTCTCTGTGGTTTGGCTTATTTGCACAAAATGAAAACCGTACACAGGTAATGTTGAAAGACTTGATATGCTGATAGTAGTACGTGGCGAGCTAGAAGATAACCAAGAAGCTTTTTCTTCTTCCTTTTTTTTTTTTTTTTTTTTAGGTGGACTGTCGATGGATATAAACTTGTCAACTTTAGAATTAAGATTCTGAGTTTAAGTTCTCTTATAATTCTAGAGTTAATAATATATTATTTCTGAGCTGACCAAGATTGATGACATCAATTATTTAGGGATATCAAATGTGCTAATTTGCTTGTCGATGCATGCGGAGTTGTCAAGCTTGCAGATTTTGGGATGGCTAAACATGTGAGTTTTCATCTTCCAAAATATATCTGTAT